TAAAAAGTTTTTCCTGCTATCCAGCTGGTACTTTCCCGCCCGTAATTTAAACCCATGACTGCGAGTCCTATCCTCTGCTGCCCTCCTCTAAGTGACAGCCCTTCAAATACTTTAAGAGAGCAATTACCCCCACCCACCCTCCTCTTCTCCAGACTAAACATTCCCAGGTCCCTCAGCCTTTCCTCATAGGGCTTGGTCTCCAGGCCACTGATCATCCTCATCACTCTCCTCTGCATCCGCTCCATTCTGTCCACACCCCTTTTGAAGTGAGGCCTCCAGAACTGCACACAATACTCCAGGGTGTGGCCTGACCAATGACCAATACAGTGTACAGCGGGACTATGACATCTTGCGATTTGTATGTTATGCCTGTCCTTGTCCACCCCCACATCTGCGTGCACCTCTGGCTGCTGCTGGTTTTTGGAGGTGGCCAGGCAGAGAGGGACTGACCTGCCAACCAGCTAGCCTATAGGTAGATTCCTGTTTGATCTTGCACTTTGGATGCTGTCTGCAGTGAATCCGTGGTGCTGCACCCTGGGAGATGTAGTCCCCAGGATATACCAAGGGGCCATGCCTGGGATGCCTTAGATACTGTTTCTGAGGCCCTGGGGATGTTCCCAGTCTGCCCTTTGGCTGGCTGACCTGCCTCTCTGCCTGGCCATTATCGCAAGCAGTAGTGGCAACTTTACAGTAGAATCTTGTCCTTGGGCCATAGCAGTTGAAACTTGTCCGTCTAGTCTGAACATGCAGATGGTTTGTCAGCTTTGGATTGTAAGGGCAGAATTACATGCTATCAGTTTTCCCTCTAAGCTGAGTTAGTGTGAGTTAGCTCACAGTCTTTTAGCCTCCAGCTCACACATTTGTGTCATAGCTCAGGAAGGATGGCTCCGGAGCAAACTAATTTATGCAGCAGCCAAGTCGCTCGCTTACAACTTCAATGCCAGTAGCTCACAAAGTAGAATTTTTGCTCACAGGACTCCACAGATTAGAGGGAGCATTGCATGCTATGTGTAATTCCATGATAATTTTAAAGGTTTTTAGTTTCCAGTGCAGCCACTAGGGCTGTATTTTTCAAAGGGGAGAATGACACAGTGATTGGGGGAAGAGAAGGAGGTCTTCAACCCTTTCTTCCCCTGCTTCTGCTGCTGTTTTCCTACTGAGTAACACAATTTCTGAGCCAGCCTGTTGTGGAAGAATGTGATTACTTGTAAGTTTTTGTCAGCAGGGGTAAATATTTTTTCTCCGGTGGTCCTGGGAGTGGGGCAGTCCTCACTCTTGGGAATAGGCTCCTCCTCCGGAACAGGGTCGGTTTCCTCAGATTGACCCAGGAAGGGGAGGGGACCTGTCCTGAGACCATCCCAGTCTCACCGGTCCTGCTGCTCGACTTGACTCTCGCATGGTCCCTTCCTTTCCTTTTCCAACCAGATTTCACATGGTCCTCTGATTGTTTTAAACTATGAAGCTCTGGCTGAAACACATAAAAAGAATCTTGCCGGCTGAAATTAAACTCCCTCTAAGTTTTCCTGCACTCTTTGGGAGAATCCCAGCCCATCAGGTTCCGCCAGTGGACCTCAGCCTACAACCTTGCCTTAATCTTTAGGATAACCTACAGATTGTCTCTTATGAAAAGTTTGGGATCAGTTTATAATGGCAAAAATTACGGACTCCCTGAAAAGAGCTAATAACAGTAACACACCAACTTATACCAAATTTGTTAGAGTTTGGGCCCCTGTGCTAGTCTATATGGTTACAAATGATATACTCCCAACTAAGCAGATCTATCATAAATGGTTGTATTTATAGGTGATAGCAGGTAACTTAAAAATATCAAACTCACAGTTACCCGGTAGTGTTGTATGGTGGCAGTTTGTCGTTAACCTGTAAGTAATAATGTTTAATGATATATGTAGAAATGTAGAAGCAATAAGTTCTGTCTTATGTAAATCTTTTAACAAAACCAATAAAAAGATTTAACAAAAAAAGAAGAAGAAGAGAAGAGATTGGATTTATACCCCGCCCTTCACTTGGAGTCTCAGAGCGGCTTACAAACTCCTTTCCCTTCCCCTCCCCACAACAGACACCCTGTGAGGTGGGTGGGGCTGAGAGAACTCTGACACAAACTGCTCTTTTCCAAGGACAGCTGTGCCAGAGCTTGTGACTGACCCAAGGTCACATCAGCAGGTGCAAGTGGAGGAGTGGGGAATCAAACCCGGTTCTCCCAGATTAGAGTCCGCACACTTAACCACTACACCAAACTGGCTCTTTTCGCATTTTGTGAAAATACTTCATGAAAAAAAATCATTATAAACCATCAGATTACTTGGTCCTGAATCTTAGCATATGGCCCATATCCACATTTTCTCTTAAGATCCAGTGAACACCTAGAGTCCTTGAAGAAGCTACTCCCCCCCCCCAATTGTGATCTGTCCCTTTTGGGGCTGTTGTTGCCAAGTTGCACCATCTGTTTCCACATCTCTGCATACTGAAAAGGTTACCTAAATTCCGAGGGCACCGATATTTATGGAATTTGATCCAGTGTTCTTACAGTTCTTCAGGCAACGAAGTTTGTAGAAACACATCACGGCAGCCAGGGAAAGTTTGTTGCCACCCTTGTACCTTTTGTTGAGAATAACCACAATGAAATCCAAGCCCAGCATTCTGATGTGCCGTGTGTACAATTTTTATTGGCAATTACCGCTGGCATTAAAAGAGACAAGCAGCAACTAGTTTGGGGGGGGGGCGTTGGGGGGTGGAGAGGGGGGTTGCTTTGTTTCCTTATATTTCCAGTAAAGCCGTAAAGCTTTACTAAAGATTAAACATCTGCAGCAAAGGAAAGAAAAGGAAGGCAATAGTCCAAATACTAGATGATTCCTCCTCTCCCCATCAATTTGGAATTTATTGATAAAGTTTGTCTCTGAGAATGCAAGGCCACTTGGAGGGGGGGAGGGGACATTGTCACCACGCCACTTCCCTTCGTGGCAAACATACAATATGCTGAACTGCACTCACAGTAATGTGATAAAGTGTTATCATCTAAGTGCAGGCTGGGGCATCATAGCATCTGCAGAACAGGAAGTTGTGTGAAGGATGACGTCTGTCTTGGCTTTGTCTGAGCCATAAAGACAATGTACAGCAGTCGATAGCCCCGTTATATCCACTTCTTTCTCTCTTTTTTAATTCTCTTTACAGACTGAGATAAATGAAAAGCTGCAAATGCAGGAAGAGGCCTACTCTGTGAGAATAGAAAAGTTGAAGAAGACCTGAGAAAACCTGCCACAAGCAGCACATAGTCGTGTGGAGCCTTCCGCCCGGTTGTTTCGAACACACTTTCAATCTCTACCATGTTTTTTGTTTCCGAAGCTCAGCACGAGTGGGCCGGTGCCGCTTCACGGGGCAAACATTGTTCTGAAAGTCTCTCATGCAATACCTGTTTATTTAGTTTTGCCTTTCTGTATGTATAAATAGTGGGATGTTCTTTTGGAAACTAAATAGCCGGAAACTGAATAAATTATAACTGCAGGTAGATCTGTTTTATTGTTTCTGAGATCTGAATGACATCTGATTTGTGACGCTTTCCCTGAATGCCTGTGTTTGTGAAAGGCATCTAAGTTATTGAGTGGTGGCAGAAAAATTCTGGTCAGGATCAAAAGCCAACCACACCTTAAAAAGAATATTATAGCTTTGGGAAAAGTGCAGAAAAGGGCAACTCGAATGATAAAAGGGTTGGAACACTTTCCCTATGAGGAAAGGTTAAGGCGCTTAGGGCTCTTTAGCTTGGAGAAATGATGACTAAGGGGTGACATGATTGAGGTTTACAAGATTATGCATGGGAAAGAACAGGTAGAGAAAGAGGTACTTTTCTCTCTTTCTCACAATACAAGAACTCGTGGGCACTCCATGAAATTGCTGAGCAGTCGGGTTAGAACGGATAAAAGGAAGTACTTCTTCACCCAAAGAGTGATTAACACTTGAAATTCACTGCCACAGGAAGTGGTGGCGGCTACAAGCATGGATGGCTTCAAAAGGGAATTAGATAAGCATATGGAGCAGAGGTCCATCAGTGGCTATTAGCCACAAGGTATAGATAGGGACTCTGGGGCAAGTGATGCTCTGTCATCTTGGTGCTTGGGGGGGTCAACAGTGGGAGGGCTTCTAGTGTCCTGGCCCTACTGGTGGATCTCCTGATGGCACCTGGTATTTCTGGCCACCGTGTGACCCAGAGTGTTGGACTGGCGTGATCCAACATTTGGCTTCTCTTATGTTCTTAGGAACTCTCAGTCTGGGGCAAGTGATGCTCTGTCTTCTTGGTGCTTGGGGGGGGGGGGGCCACAGTGGGAGGGCGGCTGGACCTCCTGATGGCTCCTGGTATTTCTGGCCACTGTGTGACACAGTGTTGGACTGGATGGGCCTTTGTCCTGATCCAACATTTGGCTTCTCTTATGTTCTTATGTTCTTAACATCCTCTTAGCCATGATGGTCGTTTCTTCCCACTCCTCTCTTCCTGGCTCTAAGGTGGGAAGCATCCCTTCACACTTCAGAGTTCAATAACGGGGTATGCTAAAACACGTGACAGGCAGACGGAACATGCAGCAGCACAGGGACAGGGCTGGATAATTAATGATCCGGCTGAAGCCGACTGAAGGAGGACACATACCTGGAATTTTTGAAGAATACTTAAGAAGCCCAGAGCATCCCTGACAAGGGCCTGTCCAGCTGCTGCTTAAAGTCTGCCAGTGAGGGGGAGCCCACCACCTCCCTAGGGCAGATGATTCCACTGTTGCACAACTCGTACTATCAAAACGTTTTTCCTAAGATCCAGCCGGTTCCCTCCCCCCCCTTAATTTAAACCCACTATTGCAAGTCCTGTTCTCTGATGCCCTCCTCTAAGTGACAGCCCTTCAAATACTTCAAGAGAGCGATCATGTCCCCCCCCCCTCAACCTCCTCTTCTCCAGACTAAACATCCTCAAGTCCCTCAGCCTTTCCTCGTAGGGCTTGGTCTCCAGGCCCCCGATCATCCTCGTCGCTCTCCTCTGCACGTGCTCCATTCTGTCCACATCCTTTTTGAAGTAAAGCCTCCAGTACTGCATGCAATACTCCAGGTGCGACCTGACCAATGCAGGCTGCGGTCACATGGAACATTAGCCACGCAAGAGAGACGGAAGACAGGCGGAATTTCCGGGCACGATCTCACCGGCACATCTGGGAAGCGTAGCGCTTCTGTGGCACAACCGAGGCTTCTCGCTGAAAACGCGCAGCAAAAAACTAGTACCTCGGAGGTACTAGTTTCCGGAAACCGCGGGGCAAGGGCGGGCGTCTGATCGCGTTTCCGGTGGCATCCGGCGCCCGCCCATGTCCCATTGCAAAAAAGGGGGTTTTTTTCCTCCAAGTCTCCGTGGATGCACACACGCACCCAACGGAGCATGCGCATTTGTCATGTACACAAAAAAGAAAACCAGTTTGCCGCACCGCACGCTTCTTGCTTCTTCGTTGCGCGCAGGCTTGTCCTGTGATCGGCACCTCTCCCTACCCATGGAACCTCCACGGTACCTCCACAGGACCTCCACGGGAGGTCTGATCACTTAACCGTGCGTTAGTTTGCCCCGGGGCAAACAGCCACGCTTCCCCCCCGCATTTTCCTGCCCGTGTGACCGGAGCCCCAGTGTACAGTGGGACTATGACATCTCGTGATTTGGATATTCTGCCTCTGTTGACACACCCCAAGATCGCATTAGCCTTTTTTGTTGCCACATCACACTGGCTGCTCATATTTAACTTTCATATTTAACTTTTGGTCCACCCTTACCCCAAGATCTTGTTCACACACCCTGCTGCTCAGAAGTGCATCCCCCATCCAGTATGCATGTTCCTCATTTTTGTTACCCAGATGTAGAACTCGGCACTTATCCTCGTTAAATTGCATCATGTTCACATACTTGTTTTGGTGCAGGCTTCTGCTTCTCTCCAGAACGCAGCGTTAGACGTTCAAGGCCATGAAGTCAGCCAGTTCTTAGTTAAATACCTTTTAACCTCCCCCCACCTTTGTACTGTGGGTCATGAAAAGGGACAGTGGAGGGGCAATGGCTCAGTGACAGAACATCTCCTTGACCTGCAGAAGGTCCCAGGTTCAGTCCCCACCATCTCCAGTTAAAGGTATCAGGGAGATGATGTGAAAGACTTCTACCTAGGAAGCCACTGTCAGTCTGAGTAGACTGTATCGAAGTTGATGGACCAAAGCTCTGATTCAGTAGAAGCAGGGGTCATTTCGTAGAAAAAAAGGTGCAGGAGCTTATTCGCATAACTGATTTGCATAGGCCACACCCCCTGACATCACTGGAAGTGTGTCAGAAGGCAACACCCACCGCTCAGGCTCCACTGGACTGTTTTGGATTGCTAGCTATTGGGGGGAGGGGGAACGCGCAGATCTGTCCTCACAGAGGAGGGAGAGCTTGTACCTGAATAAAACTTGGTCTTAAAGGTGCCACTGGACTGTTTTGGACCGGGGAGCTCTGCAACTTACCTGGCTGCTTCTTGCTCTGACTGAGGGCTGCTGGGAGCAGGGGGTGGGGCTTGTTGCATGTGCCTGCCCCCTGGGCTCTTTACTGCCGGAGCTCTGCTCCTGTGCGCTCCCGCAGGAAATGACCCCTGAGTATAAGGCAGCTTCGTGTGTTTGTGTCACAGATTCCCCCCTTGGCCAGCATCTCATTACCTCACAATTGCTGAGGCTCAGCTCTGCTGTATCTCCTCCAGCCTGTCTGCTGCTGCCACTGGCACCCTCTGTCCCAGTCATCCTACCTCTAGCCTTTTTACGGCTCCAGTACTGCGTTCCTAAGCAGAGCCCATTGACTGCATTGGACTTAGAAGGGCAGGACGGTAAGTCTTTTCTTTTTTTTAATTCTTGTGCTAGCTCTCTGCACTCAGGCTCCTACTCTGGCCTCTCAATACAGCCCTGTTAGTGTCCTTTAAGCCAGCCCAACCCCCTGATTTTGACCCTCTGGATGGCTGCCACTAGTCGTGTGTCTTCCGTCCATTTTGTCACTCGTTTCAGTTTGACTCGCTTGGTCCAGTGCCTTGAATTGACCCGCTGTGCCTCTTCCCTCTGACGTCTGCCTTTGGGCTCAGTCTGGCTCTTGCATTGTCTCAGTGCTGCCCTCAAAGCGGGAAAACATCGCCCATCCACTGCTAGCGAAGGAATAGGACAAAATGCCCTCCGACCCACCACCACACTCAACCAAGCAGAAATGGTTTAGGACCATTTAATCCATACAGATGCTTG